AACAGATAGTTTTGTGATGAGATAATTTGTAACGAGCAACAAGTAACAAAAGTAAATAAAGTGCAGCAAGGTGGCCCAATCCTTTTTGTAGCAAAGGACAAGCCTGGACAAACTCTTATATAAGGAAAAGCGCTCCCGAGGACACATGGGAATATCGTCAAGCTAGTTTTCATCACGTTCATATGATTCGCGTTCAGTACTTTGATAATTTGACATGTGGGTGGACCGGTGCTTGGGTGATGTTCTTACTTGAACAAGCATCCCACTTATGATTAACCTCTATTGCAAGCATCCGCAACTACAACAAAAGTATTAAGGTAAACCTAACCATAGCATGAAACATATGGATCCAAATCAGCCCCTTACGAAGCAACGCATAAACTAGGGTTTAAGCTTCTATCACTCTAGCAACCCATCATCTACTTATTACTTCCCAATGCCTTCCTATAGGCCCAAATAATGGTGAAGTGTTATATAGTCGACGTTCACATAACACCACTAGAGGCTAGACAACATACATCTGATCAAAATATCGAACGAATTCCAAATTCACATGACTACTAATAGCAAGACTTCTCCCTTGTCCTCAGGAACAAATGTAACTACTCACAAAGCATATTCATATTCATAATCATAGGGGTAATAATGTGCATAAAGGATCTGAACATATGATCTTCCACCAATTAAACCAACTAGCATCAACTACAAGGAGTAATTAACACTACTAGCAACCTACTAGCACCAATCCCGGACTTGGAGACAAGAATTGGATACAAGAGATGAACTAGGGTTTTGAGATGAGATGGTGCTGATGAAGATGTTGATGGAGATTGCCCTCTCCCGATGAGAGGAGCGTTGGTGATGACGATGGAGATGATTTCCCCCTCGGGGGGGGGGGGGGAGTTTCCCCGGCAGAACAGCTCTACCGGAGCCCTAGATTGGTTCCGCCAAGGTTCCGCCTCGTGGCGATGGAGTTTCGTCCCGAAAGGTTGCTTCTGATTTTTTTTCTCGACGAAAGACTTCATATAGCAGAAGATGGTCATCGGTGAGCCACCAGGGGGCCCACGAGGTAGGGGGCGCGCCCCCACCCTCGTGGAAAGGGTGTGGGCCCCCTGGTCTTCATCTTTGGTGAGGATTTTTCATTATTTATTATAAGGTATTCCGTGGAGTTTCATGACTTTTGGAGTTGTGCAGAATAGGTCTCTAATATTTGCTCCTTTTCCAGCCCAGAATTCCAGCTGCCGGCATTCTCCCTCCTTATGTAAACCTTGTAAAATAAGAGAGAATAGCCATAAGTATTGTGACATAATGTGAAATAACAGCCCATAATGCAATAAATGTCAATATAAAAGCATGATGCAAAATGGACATATCACTCCCTCCGTCCCATAATATAAGAACGTTTTGTACAGTACACCAGTGTTCAAAACACTCTTGTATTATGGGAAGAGGGATTGGTTGATTGTGTAGCATTCTGCATCTTATCTCCCTTACCCACCATTTACTAAAAAATATCAGATCTATATTTAATCTTACCAAAAAGTTGAATACACAAACAATGCCAGTGCAGAAGTGTAGCCCATTGCTCTTTCAGTACATTTTGTCCTGTAACGCTTGTACTTCCAGGAATTGTAGTTGATTATGTAGCATCAATCTGCACCTTATCTTCATTATCCTCTATCCCTTCTAGTATTATCATATCTATAATTACTCTCTACAAAATGTAGAGTACAGGCAATGCTTATGAAGAAGATTCTGTGCTGAAATTCTTGAGTTATCCTTCCCTTGACATGGAGAAGGGCATTACAAAGCCGGTGTTAACTGTTAATGTAAGTCAGTCCTTCTAAAGCCTTTACCCTCAACTGCTGTTTAATTTGCCCATACTCTCTATCGTTTACTGCTGTTTAGTTTGTTGTTTCTATCAAAATGCATGTTCGCAAGAACCGTAAGTTCCAGGTTTCACTTGTAAAACCAAATTCCTTATTCATACCATGCACATTACTCAATACTCCCTATATGTATGCTTGTTTTCGTGGATCTATAATCCAGTGTGTGGTGAAGCAGCCCACATTTGCACCTTGTCATCTCCTGTTTTATTTTACTGATGTGGCTGATGATATGAACAACATGCCATGCACATCAACCAAAATAGATACAATGATTGTCTTTGCCCTTCATCCATGCTTGTTATGTTTAGAGTCATGGTAATCCAGCAGTGTGGGGAAGCTCCCCGCATTATGAACAATGCCAAATTATGCTATTGATATTTTGAACTTACTCTTTATTTTTTAATTTCAAATTAGATGGAATTGACAACACAATTATCATCTTTGTTTATACACGTGCAAAACATGTCATCTCTCTACTTGTTTCAGGGTGATATGCCTGATGGCATGAACAAGTCTGCTGAAGGCTGTGAGACAAACCCAACATATATTGCAGCAAAGAAGGCAGAACATCTTGAAGATAGCGAAACAACCCCAAAGTCTTGTCTTGATGCAGTGTTCAAGTTACTTGAGACTAGCAGTCAGACAAGCTCACAGAATTCGCTGTCTGAATCAGTTTGACTTCTTCAGTCCCAAGTTCTAGCAGAAAGGCATTCTTCAACTCAACTTTGACTTGAAGTCCTATCTCTAAGAAAGATAGCAGAGAACACCAATGAGAACCTCATTGCTAAACAGCTACACCTGGAAGCTATGACCGACATTCTAGGCCGGTCTCACAGCCTTGCTCAGTATCTTGCGCAGCAGTTCCCGCGCAAGCCTAACCTTTCTTGAACTGTCTTAGAAGTGGTCTTGGTTTAGTATTATTTTGTTACGCAGCAATGGTGCCCAGTTTTTGTAATCTGCTTCTTCGTTGCGCTTTATGATCACTGGTGGCGGACCTCGATGCCCAATGGATGTAATATACCATAAATCATTTATTGTATAGCGTAGGTTTATTCTAAGTTACTATGTCATAATTTCTTTATTGTATAGAGTAGGTTTGTTCTTAATTCCTACTAGTTATTGCCATCATTCGCTATCTGAAAAAAAAATTGATGTAGTCGACCGGGCCGAAACATTCGCTTCTAACGGGCCTGGTTTTTAGCGGGCCACAATTGGGTTGGCCTGCATCTTTCTTGGGCCCGAATGGCCATTGCGGCCTTCACACTTTGCACCAGGCCCACAACTTACTCCGACCTATATTCGGCCCAAATTTTAGTTGGGCCTTTTGTGGACCCAGCAGTTAGTTTGGCCCATGTAGCATTGGGCCATTAACAGGTTGAATATTCTACTGGCCTGTTACGGCCCAGAAGAAAGCATGGGCCTTTAGTAGGCCGAAATGCATGTTGGGCCTCAATTTTCACTAGTCGTCGACGGGCCTTCAGCAAGCTGAAATGTAGACCGGGCATTTTTCGGCCTAGTTATATGACGGGCCATTACTAGGCCGAAACATATCTCGGGCCTTAGTTGGCCCACTAATATCATGGGCCTTTCATAGGCCGAAAGCTTAGTACAGACATCAACGGGCCGAATTATACGACGAGCCTTTAACAGGCCCAAAGTCATGTTGGGTTGAACTGTTGCCACTTTTATCACGGGTCGTTAGTGGGCCGGATGTCGCGTCGGACCATATATGGCCCATGGGCAGCACGGGTCATTCCCAGGCCAAAAGACACACCGGGCTGAAATGGGCCTGTGTCTACATCGGGCCTCTAACAGGCCGAAAGTCACTAGGCTGTAATTGGGCCCAAATATTCGATGAATAATTAACGGGCAGATCTGGCTTCGGGCCGTAAATGGACCTTTATTAAACAGGCCGTTATTGGGCTGGCCTAATAGTACCTGAGTAAGTACTACGAGCCTTTGACTGGGCCGACCTTTTTAACCTATATGGGCCTCTGTTGGGCCGTGTCACGTGTCTACGTATCATAGGCGCCTCTTGTCCAATGAATGGATGACATATGTCCCAACGGTGAGCCAACACGTGTTTCCTCCGGCCAATGAAAATTTTACACGTGGAAAATCCTCATTAGTCTGGGCTGTTAGCGGGTTATCGGATCCAAAACCGAACCCGATAGCTTAACAGCGACCCGTTACGGTGGATGCCACGTGTCAGTCACCCTTGACGAAAGCACTTCCATGACACGGCATTTATCGTCATGGAAGTGAACACTTCCGTGATGATAATTTTCGTAATGTCATGGAACACTTCTACAACAGCACAGTTATGACTATCTTGATTCTGTCATAAAATTGTCATGGATGTATACATGCATGTGTCTTGTTATGCTTTCAGTATATAAACAGATAGATACATGCATGTGTCTAGTTATGCTTTCAGTAGGATGCATTCAAAGTCCATTCAAACAAGGGTCGATCTATTCTACAACCCATCCATTATGATTTACAACAACGGTCCGAATACACCCTAACTCCATGATTTTTGTCATGTTTGGCAGGAAATTAGTCAGTCTTTACGGATGCATAAGCTAGGAAATGGAGATTTCATTTTCTAAGAAAGAGCACCCAGTCTCTGCAGCAACCATGACTAGTTCACCATATGGCAAAAGAAGAGGCAAACAATTGAGTTTCATGCACCAAAATTCACTTCAATTAGATGTTACCTGCAAGCTGAATGAGGTGTCGGACCTACTCGTTCATACAAGGCAAAATTCAAGCTAGCATAGCAAGCATTCCAAACGAATCCACTGGGCCGGTACGAGTTGATGAGTTGTGAAAATGAATGCACGTACCATTCAACGACTGCAGTTACATACGTACGCAGGTAGCACAAAAAACGATCGATCTAGCTAGTTAGCTATAGCTAGAGCACCACCTGTACTACGACCATTCAAGTGCCCGGCTCCTCAGCTCATCCTCAGTTTCGATCTTACTAGACACACACACATGCACAAACCTATGCATGCGTAACAATACATGCATCTTCACTGTTCAATTCGACGAGTTTCAGCCCTCTTAGGAACACAAGAAAGAGTTCAACTCGAAGCGGGACCTTTACGAGAACGTTTGCTGAATCTCTTGCACCAGCTCCTCCGCGCTGAGTGAGCACTCGATTCCAATCTGTGAGAGGGTATACATGTACAATATTAGGAATTGTTACAAGTTTGCTAAACAAAAGTGTAATCCGCACGAGCAATGCATTTTAAACGCATGATGAAACAGCTAACTGTTGTGGAATCGAGGGTGTATATATTGCTTCCAATATTGTAAATTAAGTAACTAAAAACAAGGGTCCGAGTTCCTAGCAAGTGTGTGTTTCACAGATTCTAGACAGTTGTCCAAATATTTGACCATTTTGTCTTGAAACATGCTGCTCACATTTTTCATCAGTTTTTTTTTTATGGAACATTTTTCATCAGTTTAGTCCTTTGAGTTAACTAGCTACATGCAACTCGGCAGTGCATACGTACCAACGTAGTACCAGACTATTCACAGGACTGTTACGTAGGTCGTGATCCCTATTTTGAAGCTTGGTCCGGGTCCAAGCTGCCATCCAACACACGTTGATGCCCAGTGCAGCTTCAGCGTGATTGGCCAGTATATGCACATGCACTTAACACGGGAACCTCACATGAAACGAAATGCAGGTCCTCTTCGGCTTTAATTAGTATACGTCCATGCAGTGTTTGGTCCCATGCATGCATGCCTTTACTACGTTCATGCTAGAGAGCGAGGGGAAGTAAGGACAACTGCTAGCGCGCGGTTAGCTACAGCTTAGCTAGCGATACTAGGTATGGTACGTACACACCTTGACGGTGAAGGCGTTGACGTCGGTGTCGTCGATGGTGCTTATCTTGGCGTGGAGGATCTCCAGCGCCGGCGCCCGTGACTCGAGCGCGGCGATGATCTTCACCGCCTGCCCCGGCGCGCGGTGCGACACCGTCTTCAGCACCAGGTTCGCGCCGGCGAACTCCACCCTCACGTCGGGGAGTGGGTCGGTCGGGGGCAGCTGTAGCGCCTGCCTGTTGGCGTACACCGACAGCTCGGCGGCGATGGCGTCGAGCGAGGGGAGGTAGGAGGAGGCCGCATCGTAGCCTGTAGGCGTCATCGCCGGGGACACGTAGGTGGAGCCGGAGATCGGCGGCGGCAGGGGCCGGAGCTTGTAGGGACTGCCTGGCGTCGGCGGCGTCCTGGCAGGGCTGATCGGGACGGCGAGGCGCGGGCTGAGCGGCGGAGTGGACCTGAGCAGTGGGCTGAGCGGCGGCGTGGATTTATGGAGCGGGCTGAGCGGGAGGCGTGGGCTGTAGGACGACGGCGGCGGCCGCGGGCTGAGGACGTGCTCGGTGTAGGCCTTGCGCTGCTTCTTGGCCTCCAGCGACTGCTTCACTTGCTGCAGCTCCTTGATGTAGTCCACCACTCCTCCGATGATGGATGCTTGGTCACCCTGATCCAAAAAAGGCCTAGCATATGTCAGTGCCATCCACATGCATAGGTCTAACGACTGATGAATAAAGCATCCTCCCGCAGCTAGCAATTTAAGCTCAGGGTTTCCAAGAAAGAAAGTAGATATGCTACTCATCGGTTAGCTAGTGGCCGGGCCATTCTTCTCTCTCTCTCTCTAAAAAGAAAAGCTAGGCTGGGCCATGGCCTTGCACAGTTGCATTCAGTAGTCAGCATGCATGCACTGATGCACTTGGCAGGCAGGCAGTGGTGTCGCTGTAGACATGTGGTACACCAGTAGTACCTACTTTACGTAGGACTGGATCCCAATTCCCAACGAGGAAGATCCATGGAGGTTGATGTCACTGTCAATAAGTGATAATCTAGCAGAGTATCGGTAGTACAGAACGTGGACTAACGAATCATCCTCTAGTTCGTTAGTTAACACAAAAAGAACCAACATCTAAACAAGTAAACATCGGCTAGTTCCAGTTTACGTATGGAAAGCTGTGCATGATGCACGCAGCGAGCACATAGAAAATAAGAGGATCTTACACGCTTGACATAGAAGCATGGCATGAGCGACCGCAGAACGGTCAGGTGCTCGTTCATCTGCTTCCGGCGGTTGCGCTCCACCGTGATGTGGGCCGTCTTCGGCGCCGCGCCGCCTCCCTCCTCCGGCGAGCACTTCTGCCTCTTCTGCGCCTGCGCTATGCCGTCACATTCGTCCTGCCGCGCTCGCCGCTTGCTGCCTTTGTTCCCCGGCGCAGAACCGCCCAGCAGCCCACCACGGCTGCTGGCGCCGGCCGTGGGGCTCAACGCTGCAGCGGCGCCGTTGACGCAGTCCTCCCAAGTCTCGAGGATGCTGAATAGGTCTTCAGCGTCGGTGGGGAGCTGGAACTCGCCGTCGACGTCGACGAGGAGCTGATCGCACAGCGCATCTCCCATGACTCGCACGAGCTTGTGTTTGGTCGCTGCTGGCTGAGTGGTGCAAGGGAGAATGTTGTGTGCAAGTGGAAGATCTTGGCTAGATAGCTTGGCTTCTTTTAAGCATAGAGATATCGGCCGTTTGCTTGGGTGATGGTCATGAGAAGAGTCGGGATGACATAAATACCGGAGGAGCTGTACGGCAGTAAGAGATGCCCCCACCAACAACACTTCGGCCATACCTGATAGGGCAACTCGAGGCGTATACCGGCCTGTTGGCGACCTTAATGAACTAATCAGCTATGACGCTGAAATATTAATGTAGCTCTTGTATGTTCAAAAACACATAACTGTGTTGATTGGTCAAATGAAAAATTAAAATATTACATTTTTGTAAATGAATGTTGAGATTACAACTTACCTCTTTCATAGTAATATTGTCCTTTTAACATGACTGAGTTAGTAAACGCCTAGGGCTCTGTTGGTTCACCGGAATAGAAAAAGGACAGTGATAACTTCCGACTGATCGTCCCTTAGTAACAGATCCGAACAATCCCATCCCGCCTCCCTCACAGGATGATTCAGGGGCTGTTCGGTTCTGGGCCTAGGAATGTCACATTTTGCCATATAATATTGTCAAACTTGTCTAAGGTTAGTTCTTTAAAATGAAAGCCACAAGTTGGCAAGCCTAAGGGAATCTTGTTAGCAATTAAGCTTCAGGTTAGGTGACGTGCTGTGTTAGGAATTGTTTGAGTCGGTTCAGTATACGTACGAGGTTAGGTCGTATTAGGAAAGGTTTGTAAACCGGCGTTGTACCGGGTCGCGTCGTGTTGGGCCTGTGCCGTGTTGGACGTGATTTGTATCCCTATATAATGCAATGAAAAGGACCACGAAAAGCAGCTCGTATTGCTGCACCAAATTATCTTCTTTCTTGTTCGTAAGTTTAGGGTTTGCTTAGCTCGAGATTGAGTTCTGCAGATCCGATTTTTGCCCTGCGATCCATCAATTGGTATTCAGAGCCTGGCTACGTGCTAACCTATAACGGGAAGGCATGAGCGAAGACGACAAGAAGAAGGGGACGGAGGCGTCGGGCGCTGCGGCGCCAGCTCCGGCGGCGGCGGCGGCACCACCGACGCAATTCCCGCGGTTCAACCGCGAGAACTTTGGTGTTTGGGCAGCAACTATGCAGTGCGCCATGGAGTCACACATGCTTTGGCACATCGTCGACCCCGGCGGTGACGAGTTCAAGAAGGATGGAGCGCAGCGCTGGCGAGATCGTCAGGCAGCGAGCGCAATCTACTCGGTTATGCCGATGGATATCATGCAGCATCTCATGTCCATGGAAACAGCCAAGGACGTGTGGGATACATTGAAAACTTTGCAGCTTGGTCACGCCAGAGTGCGAGAAGCCACGCTGCAGTCTATGATGAGAACATATGAGTCGCTGAAGATGGAAGATGATGAGACTGTGGAGCAGTTTACAGCAAGGGTGGTAACCCTGGTCAACAGCATATGTACGCTCGGTGAAAATCTGGAAGAGATCTCAGTCGTGCGACGTTTCCTCCGTGCAGCGCCATCGCGATATTTGCCAATAGTATCGGCAGTCGAGCTGTGCGTCGATTTGAAGACGTTGACGGTGGATGACCTGGTCGGTCGTTACAAGGCTCATGATGAGCGGATGAAGCTAACATCAAGCGATGGGAAGCAAGACGAGTATCTCATGCTCACGCGCAGTCAGCTACAGGCGATGATCGCGAAAGAAAAAAGGAACGACGGCGCGTCTGGTAGTGGCGGCAAGAAGGAGAATTACAACCCAGTAAAAAGAATTATGCCAGGGGTGATGATCAGCGCGAGAAGCCGAAGAAAAGGTTTGACAAGCGCAAGATTCGCTGCCACAATTGCTATTTACTCGGGCACTTTAAATCTGAGTGTCGAAAACCGATGAAGGAAAAGGCCCTCATTGCTACCAAGGGCGGTGATGAAGGTGTGCATCTGCTGATGATAGAAGCTTGTGAGCTCATGGAGGAGGAACCAGCAAGTCCTCAAACAGGAGTCATGGAATCGGTGACATTATTCAAGGAAAAGGTGTATCTCCACGACAAGGAACGGGCCAAGACAGCTAGCAACGTGTGGTATCTCGATACAGGCGCAAGTAATCATATGACAGGCGATAAATCGCAGTTCTCCGAGTTGAATTTGGCCGTGGGCGGAACGGTGCGGTGTGGAGATGGTTCAACTGTCAGAATTGAGGGACGAGGTACTGTCCTGTTCGAGGCTCGCAATGGCGAGCATAAGGCGCTGACCGAGGTATATTATATCCCAAAGTTGAAGAGCAACATTATAAGTCTCGGACAACTAGAGGAACGTGGTTGCAAGATTGTCTCTATATTCTGAACCTCGATAGATCTAATCCGATTTGTTTACTGGCAAGTTTTGAGGACACGGCATGGAAGTGGCATGCACGATATGGACATATGAATTTCCAATCGTTGCGGCAACTCGGACAGAAAAATATGGTTCATGGAATTCCTAGCATCGATCATGTTGAGCAGTTGTGTGACGGCTGCCTAGTTGGTAAGCAACGAAGGGCATCGTTCCCACGTGAAGCAGTGTACAGGGCAAGCAAGGTGCTCGAGTTGATGCATGGTGACTTGTGTGGCCCAATTACACCAGCAACCCCAAGTGGAAATAAGTATTTCTTGCTCGTTGTTGATGATTACAGCAGGTACATGTGGATTGTGCTTTTGAAGAGCAAGGACCAGGCGTTGCAAGCCTTCAAGTTAATAAAGACCGCAGCAGAGGTCGAAGCAGAAGCCAAGCTGAAAGCGTTTCGTACGGACAGGGGGGGTTGAGTTCACGTCAAAAGAATTCACCGACTTCTGTGAATTGCACGGGATCAAGCGTTATCTGACCGTGCCATGTTCTCCGCAGCACAACGGTGTAGCGGAGCGAAGGAACCAAACCGTTGTAGCAATGGCTCGAAGCATGATGAAGAGCAAGGGTCTACCGACAAAGTTTTGGGGAGAAGCGGTGACGACGAATGTGTACTTGCTGAACTGCACGCCGACGAAGAGTGTCGTTGGCATGACTCCGTACGAGGCATGGTGTGGGCGCAAACCTACAGTGGATCATCTTCGCACCTTTGGGTGTGTCGCACATGTGAAGACAGTGGCTGGTCATGTAGGCAAACTTGCCGACCGGAGTACACCGATGATCATGATTGGCTATGAGACGGGATCGAAGGCATACCGGGTGTACAACCCAGCAACAAGCAAAGTCCAAGTAATTCGAGATGTAATTTTCGAGGAAGAGAAGGCTTGGACTTGGGGGGGATCAAATGAACCGGAGGTAGCAAGATCAGATGAAATTTTTCATGTTGTATATGATCAACTTGATGATGCAGGTCACGGCGGTGCTCATGAACACCATCATGATGTTGATCAAGGACCTCCAGGCACTCCCTTGGTGCATGGTGGTGCAACAGAAACTGATCCAAGCACACCCGGAACACTGGAATCTCAAGTTGTGTTGGACGACCGGAGCAGCAACGCTGCCACGGCAAGCAGTAACGCTGCCACAGCGGGAACCAGTGCAGCAGCCTCAGTAGGGACCGAGCACGAGCCGACGGCATCGGCCGCTGTACCGTCGTCAACGCATGGTGCACAACAGCAACCCCCAACGCCGATGAAATTGAAGTCAGTATTGGACTTGTACCCAACACCGGTGCGCCGCAAGATTACTCAAGCCGAGAAACGGGCGACGCGGGGGGGAAGATGCATGCTCGTCATGGAGGAGCCAGCAACTTTTGATGAAGCAATAGAAGAAGAAAGCTGGCAGCGGGCAATGGAAGAGGAGATGAGCTCGATCGAGGAAAATGATACTTGGTCACTCGTTAATCTTCCGGATGGGCAGCGTGCTATAGGAGTCAAGTGGGTCTAGAAAGTAAAGAAAGATTACAATGGTGCCGTTGTGAAACACAAGGCACGTCTAGTAGCAAAGGGCTTTCTGCAGCAGCATGGTATTGACTTCGAGGAAGTTTTTGCGCCTGTTGCAAGGATGGAATCCGTGAAACTGTTGATTGCATTGGCAGCTCATGAAGGATGGCAGTTACATCACATGGACGTCAAGTCGGCTTTTCTCAATGGGGAATTGAAGGAGGAGGTGTATGTTAGCCAACCACCAGGTTTTGTTCAGAAAGGAGGTGAGCACAAGGTCTTGAAGCTTCGGAAGGCGTTGTATGGATTGCATCAAGCGTCGAGAGCGTGGTACGCTAAGCTGCATGACACATTGTTATCACTCAATTTTGAGAGGTGCCCTCATGAGCATGCAATGTACAAGGGTGGACAAGGTAAATCCAGTTTGCTTGTAGGTGTGTACGTGGATGATTTGGTGATCACAGGAGCCGAAGTACTCGAGATAGAAAAGTTCAAATCGTAGATGAAAGATTTGTTCAAGATGAGCGACCTTGGCTTGTTGAGTTATTACCTGGGCATCGAAGTACATCAAATGCCAGGTTATACTACACTTTGCCAGGAAGCATATGCAAGAAAAATTCTCGAAGAACATGGGATGGATGATTGTTATCCAGCAAAAGCTCCGATGGAAGCTCGCCTCAAGTTGAGCAAGCAGAGCTCGTCACCTCCAGTTGATCAAACCATGTACATAAGCATTGTTGGGAGTTTAAGGTACCTTGTGAACACAAGACCGGATTTGGCATATTCGGTTGGAATTGTGAGCAGGTACATGGAATCCCCCACGACTGAACACATGGCAGTCGTGAAACAAATATTACGGTATGTCAAGGGGACCATGGGTCTCGGCTGCTGCTATGAGAAAAAGAAAGACAATGGTGAACCTCGTTTGACAGGGTATAGTGACAGCGATTTTGCCGGAGATGTTGATGATCGAAAGAGCACGGCCGGCATGGGATTTTTTCTTGGCACTAGCATGGTGTTTTGGCTATCACAGAAACAAAAGGTAGTAGCACTCTCTTCATGTGAGGCTGAATACATGGCAGCAAC